ATAGAAGAGAATTCTAGGATGTCGGGATTGTTGATGATGTGTTTGTTTCTTGATAACGTGATAAGGTGCTACATCAAATGCTGTTATTGGATGTAGCACCTGATCACATTATCGGAATGTCTCAAAGCTCTTCACAGAATTTTACTGTGAAGTGTAGTGGCTGTGTATTTTGTAGCAAATTTCTGCACAGCAATGTCTCCGTAAACATCAGCAAGTGGAGTCCTGCAACTCAGTGGATAGTGCACTCGCCTGGGATGGATTCCTGGGCAGGACAAAATGTTAGGCAAGTTTCCTTACTCCACACACTCCACACACCATACTGTTTACAGCAGTAAGTAGGAACCCGGTTGTTAGTCAATTGGTGGAACAATTTTCCAGGTTAATAATCCCCCCCCCAAAAAAATGTTGTCATTCAATCCACGACTGTATGTGGGACGCTGCTGTGTGCAATTGGCTGCCACAAAATATATAGTCAATTCACTTTACAGTATATTCTATGAAGCGCTTTGAGACGGCTAGACTTCAAGACCCTCACTCTCATGTTAAAATCCCTTCACTCCCTGGCCCCTCCCTCCCTCCCCGACCCCCTCACTCCCCAATCCACCACCCGGCACCCCCGCTCGACTGGCCCAGGCTCCTGCTCATCCCTTGCACCCCACCATCGGAGGTCGCGCTTTCAGCCACTACACCTCGAAACTCTGGAACACTCTCCCTCAGTCCCTCCGCCTTGTCCCCTCTCTGCTCTTTTTCAAGTCCCGCTGGAAAACCTTTCTCTTCGACCATTCTTACAGCCACCTCCCTTCTCCCCCCGGCTCGGAGTCAGCCTCCACCACTGTTAAGCGCTCTGAGATGCCGCCCTGCATGGAGGGCGCTATATAAGTGCAAGTTGCTGTTGTAGAAGACATGATAAGGTTCTATATCGAACGCAAGGATTATTATTATTGAGTGAATCATCAATTTTATCTGGGGGACACAGTGAGAAACTCAGAGGAGGTAATTTCTCCTAGTGGCTTGGCCAACAATCCCTGCAGATACAATGGGTGATTTATTTTGTTGCTGTGTACAATTGTCTGCTGAGTTCACCTAAAAATACACAGCCACTCTGCTTCTCAGTAAATCCTTGAGGCCCTTTGAGACGTGCTCCTGACGTGAAAGGCGCTGTATCAGATTGTTGTTCAGAGGACGGAGTTTCACGGGTGTGAATGGCAATTTCTGGATGGATATCAGGTAGTATTTCTTTAGATGAAGGTTAAGCAATAGGTTGTATTCAGGACGACAGGTTGAGGCCATGACTCTCAGAATGATCAAAGCACAAATTTTGCTGCACTAAGAAGCTGTAATCTAGGGTGTTGAGTAAGACTGTTTCATTTTGGAAAGTGAGTTGCATCATATTTGATCCTACGCTGAGTCAGACTTTCATTGCCTCTGGTTGCATAGCTCACAGCAATGCAATCTACACAAGAAAAATGGTACTGTCACAAATATATAGCAATACAATAAATGATCCGATATTTGATATCGTGCCTTTCACTTCGTGGACATGTCAAAGCGCTTCGCAGGATGGATGTACTGTAAATTGTATTTCATGGGCAAACACAGCAGCCAATTGGCATGAAACAATGCCCCACAAACAGCCATGGAGTGAGTGAGCAATTTTATTTGGGGGATTGATGGCCAGGACACCTGGACAGAGAAACTCCCTTCTCTTTTTCCCCCCAAAAATAATTTGGTCACTCAATCCACAATTGTTTGTGGGACGCTGCTGTGCGCAATTGGTTGCCGCATTTTGCCCACAAAATATACAGTGAATTCACTTTACAGTACGTTCTGTAAAGCCCTTTGAAACGTCTCAAAGACGTGAGAAGGCGCTATTTTAAATGCAAGGATTATTACATTATATTTTTATATTATAGCGCTGTAAAATCGTTAATGTTCACCTGAACAAGCACAGGTATAACCTAGATTTAACGTCTCATCAAAAGAGGTAACACACAGTGGAGCACTCCCCTCACCAAAGGACTGGAGAATCAGCCTGGACTATATGGGATCCAAGTCCTGACGTGGAGGCTTGAACCCACAACCTTCTGGCTCAGAGGCAAGAATGAGCCAGAGATGTAATGTTTAGTGTTGATTGTGGACTTGTCCCTTTGGTTGGATGAATTCTGAGACGCAGCATAGGACATTTATTTTGCAAGCAGGGTTTGTGATGTTACATCACAGGACACAGGAATGTCTGTGCAAATATGTTGACCGGTAAACCGGATGTGATGCCCCAATAGTACACTTGTGTAAGAGAACAGAGAATATGAGGTTTTTGATAAGGGAACTTTTACATTACACATAACTGGAGATATAAAGTTTGCTCTACAACTTTCTCCTACTGTCATCATGATAATAACAATAATTGTTGCATTTGATAACAAGATTGATTTGAATGAAGAAGGCCTTCGGCTCATCTGCTCTCATTCCCCCAGAGCACCAACCCTTCTTGCCCTCAATCACAGCATCAAGCTGATTTTAAATTAGTCCCAGTGGCCTCAGCCACCCTTCCTGTTCCTGTCATTAATTACTTCCTTCGCTTCATTAATCAAGCACTCTGGGACGCTATCCTGCATGAAGGACTACTTACCTGCCCGGACCCTCCATTCCTCTGGCTCCGGTCTGGTTCACATCCCCCGCCCCAATCGCCCTACCATCGGTGGCCGGGCCTTCAGCCTCTCAGCCCCGAGGCTCTGGAACTCCATCCCCAGTGCCTTCGCCGCTTCCTCCCTTTCCTCCTTCAAGGCCGGTCTCAAGACCTTTCTCTTTGATCGTGCCTTCAGCTCCCCTCTCGACTCTCTACCCCCTCGCTCCCTCCCTTCCCTCCCCTCACCCTAACCATTTCCCCCCTCCTCGCTCCCTCCCTTCTCTCCCCTCACCCTAACCATTTCCCCCCTGCTCAGGTCCTGACCCAACTGTCCAGCGCCTTGGGACGTCCTCCCGACGTGAAAGGCGCTCTATAAATGAAATCTTGTTGTTGTTGTTGTTGTATATAAATGCAAGTTGTTGTTGTTCCTAGTTACTGGCCTGAAATTGCCCTTTACCAATCTAAACCCATGTCCTCTTGTTCAACTGTCTTGATACATCCTAAAGTAATGAACTGGGTTTACTTACACTTCTATGAAATCCCTTGAGTTATCTTTGCTAAAAACTGAAGAGCCCTGACTTTGCTCATTCCTCCAACACTGGGGATCATCCTTGTTGCTCTGCTCTGCTCTGCCTCTTGGCCCTGGGCAGCCCCTTATGTTGAAGTTACCAGATCTGTACACAGAGCTCAAGGTCTAAGTTGGAGGCACCCTCTCTGCTGACCTACGTCCAGACCTATTAGGTGCACGTTGGGAAGAGCTTTGGCTTGCAGGGCGATAAGAAGCTGTAAAGGAAGAATCCCTGCTCTTCCAAGTCTTGCCAACAGGCTATGATGGGCTGGTCATTTATTAGCAGTGCCCTGGAGTACTGTGGATCTGTCTGGCTCAGGACATAGCCAACGGGGAGAGAGAACCACAGAGGGCTGGCTCAATTCATTCCAATATTCCGTTGCCAATTTGCTGTGCGCAATTGGTTGCTGCGTTTCGCCCACAAAATATACCGTCAATTCGCATTACAGTATATTCTGTGAAGGGCTTTCAGACGTCTCAAAGACGTGATAACCTGCTTTATTGAACCCAAGGATCATTTTCATTATGTCACCTTGGAGCCCGTTCAGCTCCAAAGAGACCCCGCTTACCTCCTTTCCCAAGGAGGATAGTTTTGACATGGTGAGCGATCCGATCAGTCAGCTACCACCCTATATCTCTTTCAGCTTCGTCATTGGCAACTTCTGTCATTTCCGTGCAGTACATGTGTTCCTATTCTTGCTTCTTATTTGCAATAGCTTGTATTTATTTCTCCTAACTTGACAGTAGTTGCTGCAATTTGCTTTCTGATATGTCGGAAAGACAATATCGAAATCTCAAGTTCTGTCTTAACACAGTTTTTTGGGGCTTGAAGAACTTCATGTTCACTTAAGTAAGCCAGTGCTATTGGGTAGGGTTGGGCCTCGCTGGACAAGCAGCAGGAAGCTTGCCAGGCAGTGCTCTCAATGGCAAGCTCTGGTGGGTTTAGCTGGTTAAGCTCCAATATCAGGGGTTCTCCCAAGCCTTGGCTCTCAACAATCTGCGACTGATACTCTCCAGGATTAGGTGAGCAGGGAGCGTCGCTCCAGAGAGAGAGAGAGTGAATGAGAGAGAGAATGCGCATTCCATTCCAGGTCCAGGATGATTTGAATGTGTAGGTGGAACTCCCAGTTTGGACAGTCTTAGAACATGGTGATGGATTTCCTCATATGATACATGAATGCAATTTGTTGTTGCTGCTGCTGCTGTTACACTGGGGACTTTGTGCGCATGTTCCATGCTGACGGTGCTGGCGGAACCGTGCTATATCGTGCCGTCTTTCAGATAAGATAGTAACCCTGAAATTGGTCTCCATCTTTTCAGGTGGGGTTTAAAGATCCTGTGGCACTATTCGAAAAAAGAAGGGAGTTTCTCCCAGTGTCCTGGCCAACAATGCCTCAGATAGAATTGGTCAATCATTTTCATGGCTGTTTGTGGGACCCTGATGTGTGCAAATCCAATGTCATCCTCAAATACACACTCACTACATCTCACACAATTACTGTGAGGTGTTGGACGTGACAAGGTGCTCTAACAGATGCAAGGATCACAATAATAATAATAACAATCCTTGCATTTGATATAGCGCCTTATCACGTTGTCGAGTTGTCTGAAAGCGCTTCACAGAATATACTGTAAAGTGAATTGACTGTATTAATTTAATATTAATATTATTTAACACTATATTATTAATAATTTTTTTATTATTATCAATAGTATTATTATTAATATTATTATTGCAAAGTAACGTTTTGCTTTCTGCGCATGTGAAGTATTGCAAGTAACAATTTTTTTTCCCCTTCACCTCAGCAGTAAGAGCGATCGCTGCATTATGACCAAGAGAGGTGCTGGCATGTTTGACCCCTGGAGTGAGTTGATGAACGTGAGCCACAGACTGGACAATGACACCCTGGCCATGCTCTCCTACAGCAGCATCCGCACAGCCCTGCCCATCGTCTACATGTTGGTGATGGTGATCAGTCTGCCTGGAAACGGGCTCTCCCTCATTTTGCTCCTGTTCAACACCAAGCCTAAGACTCCCTCCATCATCTTCATGATCAACCTGACTGTGACCGACCTACTGCTGGCCTGCTTCCTGCCTTTCCAGTGTATCTACCATTGGAATGGCAACAACTGGGTCTTTGGCCCGCGACTGTGTAACGTGGTGACGGTGCTCTTCTATGCCAACATGTATGGCTCTATCATGACCATGACGTGTATCAGCGTGGAGCGCTACCTGGGTGTGGTGCACCTGGTGCGCACTAACACGTGGAGGAAGAGGTTTGCTTTGGGGATCTGCCTGGGCATGTGGGTGTTCATCTTGATTGTCTTTCTGCCGCTGGAGCTCACCGACCTGACCTACCAGGTCCACGACCTGAACATCACCACCTGCTTTGACATACTCAAGAAGGACATGCTCCCAAACCAGGCGGCCTGGGCCTCCTTCCTCTTCACCTCTTCTTCATCCTCTTTCTGGTGCCCTTCTTCATCACCGTCTTCTGCTACATCCGCATCGTGCTCAAGCTGGTGCACAGCTCTGAGCACTTCAGCAGCGAACAGAAGCGCAGGGCCATCTGGCTAGCCCTCATTGTGCTCTTAGTCTTCATCACTTGCTTTGCTCCCAACAACATCATCCTCCTCATCCACATGATCAGCCGGCTCTTCTTTGACAAAGGAATCTACGCCGCCTACAAAATCACTCTGACCCTCAGCTGCCTCAATAGCTGTCTGGACCCTTTCATCTACTACCTGGCCTGTAAGGAATTCCGCAAGAAGCTAAGGCAGTTCCTCAGGATATCGATCAGCAGCCAAACCAGCTTCACCGAATTCAGGAGGGAGAGCTTCCTGACTCATAGATCACGGTCTGGTCATCAATGGGATCCAGTGGAGATGCAGTCCTTATGAGGGCGAGGACCTCATACTCCGTGCATTATAATAATATTAATAATCTTTGCATTTGATATAGAGCCTTATCACGTCTTCAAGACGACTCGCAGAATATACTGTAAAGGGAATTGACTGGATATTTTGTGGGCGAAACGTGGCAGCCAATTTCGCACAGCAGAGTCCCACAAATAGTTATGTATTGAAATGACTAGTTTTTTTTTAAGTTTTGAAGGGTTTATTACCCCCCCAGAAAAGTGATCCACCAATCGATCAACAACTGGGTTCTTACTTACTGCTGGGTAAAGTAGGAACCCGGTTGTTAGTGGCCTGTGTATTAAGGAAACTTGCCCAATGTTTTGCGTAGCCAGGAATCAAATCCAGTTCCTCTTGCTTATGAGACAAGTGCTCTAACCACTCAGTTACAGGCCTCCACATTGGGAAGCCCGAGGGCACAGACAGGAATCACAGATTTGAGTGACGGAGCCAAGCCTAGCTGAGGCAGTGAATCAATCAATCTCTCTCTGTCTCTCTCTGTCTCTTCAATCTCTTCTCTCTCTCCATTCAGGGACCTCCACACCTTCCAACTTGGAACTTGTTATGAGATCACACCTTGAGTTTTGTGTGAAGGAGGCCCATTGGCCCATTTGACCTGATCGCCCGCCCCGACTCTTTAAACAGTTGTGCTGCTTGTGGAGTGGGTTTCGAGGTAGGAGGGGATGGGAGGGAGTGGAGGGGAAGTGACAGAGGGAATAAAGCAGATGAGAATTAAAGCAGCCCAGACCAAAATTGTGCAGCACATGCAGAGTTTGGTGAGTTCATATGAGATAACGGATAATGGGAAGGTAGCAATGAAGGAAAGAAGTTAGCAATGATGGATGGAAGGATGGAAGTAAGGAAGACCTCAAAGCATTTCACAGGAATTACTGTGAAATATAGAGATTTTATTACAAATTAGTAGTAATTATAAGTAATTAGAAAGCACAGTGGCCAATTTTGACCACAGTCCAGCCCCCGCACAAACCATCAGGAAATGAACAAACCCTGTATGGAAAAAGGGCAGGACGATGGGATTAAAGAACTGGTTAATATAATAAGCTGATGGAACAGGCTGTGAGCTCAACAATTGCAATTAATCTGTACAATGAATGCCCAGGGACACAGAGAGAAACTCCAAACTCTTTTGGTTAGGACTCAGTTGGAGTATGGTATACAATTCTGGGCATCACACTTTAGGAAGGATGTCAGGGCATTGGAGAGGGTGAAGAGGAAATTTACCAGAATGGTACCAGGGATGAGGGACTTTAGTTATGTGGAGAGACGAGAGAAGCTGGGATTGTTCTCCTTAGAGCAGAGAAGGTTAAAGGGAGATTTAATAGAGGTGTTCAAAATTATGAGGAGTTTTGATACAACAGGTAGGGAGTAACTGTTTCCACTGGCGGGTGGGTCAGTAACCAGGGGACACAGATTTAAGATAAAAGAACCAGATTGGAGATGAGGAGAATTCCTTTTATGCAGTGAGTTGTTACGATCTGGAATGCATTGCCTGAAAGGGTGGTGAAAGCAGATTCGATAGCAGCTTTCAAAAGGGAATTGGATTGGTATTTGATAAGGAAACATTTGCAGGGCTACGGGGTAAGAACGGGAGTAGTTGGGTAGCTCTTTCAAAGAGGCACAGGCACGATGGGCTGAATGACCTCGTTCTGTGCTGTAAGATTCTCTGATTCTATGAATTTGGCAAATTGGGCCGAGTTGAGGTCTGAAATCCGACCTCATGTTGTTATTCGGTGCGAAAATTAAGGATAAAGGACAGTTAAGGACAGAGTAGTATTAGATTCTTTTTGTTTTTGGAGACCAGAGAGATGTTTCTTTTCCCTATCCTGTCGTGCTGTCTTATCAACACAGGAAACCAAAAGGAGGCCATTCAGCCCATTGAGTCCATTCCATCAGTTTATTTGTAATTTCGACAGATCTTTTAATCCCATTGTACCCGCCCTTTCCCCACATCCCTATAAGGGTTAATTAAATTTGAGAGCCTGCAGTGAAGTTAGGACTGACACAAATGTTGTACAAAAATATAGATGTTTATAAAGTCAGATTAGTAATAGTGATGAGTAATTAAAAGAATACATCACAATAATGCTTACATATCGATGCATTGTTCACAACGAGTTAAGTTGAACTGACCAAATGCTGCGGGAGAGATCGAAATATAAATCCTCAAAAGGGATCCAAGTATTGTTGTATGCTTCTCAGTTTGATATCACCCAAAAGTATCCAGGTATTTTTGTTCAATTTGTTCAATTCGATCACTCGAGAGTATCCCGGTATCATGACACGTCCAATTCAATCCCTCTCCTTCTTCAATTCTTTCTTCCGATTCTCTTCTGAGTCGATCTCCGTTTATATCTCCGTTTATAATAATATGACCTTTCACTTATTATCTTTTGCAAGATGGTTCCTTTGTAAAACCAAATGCAACATAGCTCGCTCCAGCTGCAGACCATCATCTTCTTAACTTCCCAATAAATGTATCCATATTCCATATTTAATTCGTAAAAAACATCATTTTAATTAAATACTGGAATACACAAAATAAATGATGCATAAACTAGCTATTTTATTCCCCAGTAATGTTTAAATTGTCTGGTGTATTCATCAAAATACATGGCCATTTTATTTCCAAATGTCCCACTTGAAATGGAATTAGAATTGATTCCACCCCATATTGACAATTGCCTGTAAATCCACCTCATTGACTAACTGTTTTAGATGCAAATTTTGTGGGTCTTTTTCATATATAACAGTTCGAGAGGCATCAGTGTCCAATGTTTACTATGCCCTCCTATCGCAACATTAATAGCTGTCTCCTCCCTGTATATTATATGCTGAAGGACACCATATACCGCAGTCGCCTGGCCTTTGAAAAGCTTTCAGTTCAGCTCACAGCTTTCCTAAATCTGCTTTCATTTGTCCTACCGCGTCTCTTAGATCCAAACCAGCACTTTTTCTTCTGGTTTGTCCTCCTGCTCTTTCTCCATAATATACCTAAGCTCGCTGATGGTGTCTCAGTGTAATTAAATCTCCGTATCCCTCTCTAGCCAGGGCATTCTGAAGTTCAAGTTCTTTCACTTTGACCTCTGCCTCCCTAACACATCTTTTCTTGTCAACAAAGAAGTAAATGAGAAAGGAGAAGATGGAGCCAATGAAGTAAATGAAGGACCCTATGGTGATTAGCCACAAAATGGGATCGGACACTCTCTGGTAATATATCTAATTATACAGGACATAATATTGGCTGGCCGGTACAACTGCCATGTCTCAGTATAATTAACTCCACCCCACCAGTATACATCAACAATCAATCGCCAACTCACTAAATTACGCCAATACTTAATTTCTAAACAATATTAAACTTGTGTATTTATCCCACTTCAACACGGCTGACCCCCAAAAATGTTTTTAAAGATCCCTATTGATTGCATCACTACAGCTCTCTGGGGTACAGCGTCCCAAATCCTCACAACTCTCTGTGTGTGAGCAAATGCTTCCTGACCTCTGTTATCACTGTGTGGGCTCTGGGTTTAAGAGTAACCCCCATATTAACTCTCTATACCCAGTGGAAGAGTAATCCATTATCTAACCTGTCATTTTTTTTCACAATTGGAAACTACCTTTACAGAGAACCATCCACTGAAAGTATAGAACCATCGAAATTTACAGCACAGAAGAAAGCCATTTGACCATCGTCTTTGTGGCAGTTCCTGAAGAGCAATCATCCCAGTCCCATTTAGTTGCCCTCCCCCCATACCCCTGTATCTAACTCTTTTTAAGATAGATATCCAGTTGACTCTTGAAGCCCAATATGGATTCTGCCTTAATCATTACTCCAATCAAATCTTCATCAACGCAAATATTTACAATGTCACATCTTTCATTTGTGTTGGTATACTCCATCCATCCAGCAAGCCCCAGCCCCCACCCCCAACGCCCTCCCACACCAGGGAAGGGGAAATGACCAATAAACAACATAGATTGAAGAGGTGTGTCTTAAGGTAGGCTTTAAAGATAGATAAAGAGGGGCACGGCGGAGGGGTGGAGGCAGGGAGCTTCAGAGGTTAGGGGTGTAGTGACTGAAGGCACAGCCACTAATGGTGGCACACAGTAGGTCTGTGTTAGCTTGGCTCAGGGCAAGGACAGAGGAGAGGAGCATGAGCAGGTCAGCGAGGTAGGGAGGTGCTGGGAAGTGAAAGGATTTGCATGTGACTTGGACAGTGCAATTCAATTTACATTTACACACACAGCCTTTCACTTCAGGAGGGCATCCGAAAGTGGTTGAAAGCGGGCATCAAGTGCTGATGGTGGGGCAGATAGTAATAATAATATTAATAATAATCTTTGCATTTCATATAGCGCTTTTCACGTCTCCGAGACGTCTCAAAGTGTTTCACAGAATAGACTGTAAAGTGAATTGACTGTATATTTGTGGGCAAAACCCAGCAACCAATTGCACACAGCAGCGATAGAGGGCGCAATATGGAGTAGTCAACCTGTGTATCTACATCAGCTCCTAAACGAGGATGTTGTTAGTTGTTGACAGGGTGGGATAAATGCCACTATTTGCCTTATATTTTATACAGTCTCACTCACGTTTCTTTTAATATTAATAATGATTTTCTTGTTTATGAGCAGCAGAGCATTAGTATGTGTGACTATTTGTTCACAAAGTAACTTGTGTTTTCCTTTTGGCGAAAGATGTTTTTTAAAGTGTAGAGGGCACCCCGATTGCTGCTTTGTTAGAATAATTCCCAAGTCCCCTGCCCTATTTACCCAGAGACTCACGAGGACTTGAGGTACAGATCAGCCGTGATCTAATGGAATGGCGGAACAGGCTTGAGAGGCATGAATGGCCTTCTCCTATTCCTATGTAAGACAGTAGTGAAAATAATAATCATAACAATAATAATCCTTACATTTGATGTTGGAGCACGTCACCAAGCAATTTCACAAGACTTTGTATTTTGTGGGTGAACGCGGCAGCCTAATTTGCACAGCAACACCCGCAAACAGCCTTGAAGTGAAT